ATGGTTTAATGAAATTACATGATAATGAGTTGAGATCATTAGAACCCACATATGATCCATGATTTTTAGCTATGAATTTGTGAAGAACTCATAAACCTTTGGACTATGAATTTTGAAGGATGATGCATGTCTTATGAAAATGATGTTTACGCTGATAGGGTGATTTTAGATGAAGTATTAATGTTGTTGTGAAAAGTTTCCTCACATACAAATATGGTCATGATTGTGAAAAGTATTTCTCACATATGGATTCACATTGGTGAAATATTTTCTCACATATGCTTGAATTATTATTTAAGGAGGTATTCTATGTTTTAATCTTTAAGATTAGATTTGGTATTAATCATTGTCTTTCTTATGTTATAAGGACATTTGATTTTTATCTATTCCGTTGGGATTTAGACTTAGCACCGAGAGGGGATTGAGGTGGAGGCTCAAATAGGGTAGTCTCTAGTAGCAACCCCTAGTCCCTAACTACATGCTTCCGTAAGATTGTCTTAAATGACCTAGCTAGTTGATCCACTTTAGCAAAAGATGATGTGTACAAATTCTACCTTGGCAAGTAGAATCCCGTTCTTTCGGTATTAGGGTTATACCAGATTCCATGACATAGATCTCATGGTCTTATTGTCGGTTAAAACTAATATTCCACAAATGATTATGTTTCCTCAAAGCTTTCTTATGTATCTTATTTCAAATGCCCTTGACCATGTCTTATGATTTACACGTTGTTGCTTCTTTAAGCTTTCAAATGTTCAAATGTTGGTCACGCATTACATATTTAAGCTATCTATGTCATCATGTCTATTTAGGCTCATTGCCCCATACTTAGTACATTCCATGTACTAATGCATACTTGTACCTATATTATTTCATTAATGTAGGGTCCGACGATCCTACCTCCCACACTCGTGACTAGCTGATCATTCTATCGGATGTAAGAGTAGGTAAGTCCTCATGTTTTGAAGATCAAGAAATTTTTACTTGTTTTATGTCTTTTTAAGTTTTTGAATGATGTATGTGGTGTATGAGTTACGTCCCAATAAGTCCTTTTTGATGTTTAGATGACTTGTTGAGACTATGTTAGACTTCCGCTTTGTCAAAATCTTTTATGATATAAGATTGCTACTTTTGAAATCTTTATTTCTATTATATTGTAGGATGTATGCTAAATGGCTTATGTAGAGCCTTTCGAGTTTTATACGCCATGATACACCTAGGATATACTTTGGGTCATGACAAAATGACATCATGTTGATAATTTTATCTAATGAACCTATTTGTTTACTTGTGGTTTCAAGTGTGGTTGTTCATTGTGATTGTGATTATTGATGATATTTGTGATTGCTGGTTGACTCGGGTACCACGCCGGTACAAGATACTAACGGTTGACTTGGATACCACGCCTGATATAAAATACTAATGCTTAACTCAGATACCACACTGGTACACTAACAATTTATGAGTGGGTTCCATGAGAGGGCTGAATATGTGTTGTTATGATCATGTAGGACAAATTATTCATTGATTAAGTGAAGAATTGTGACTAGGAGTCTATTGATGTGCCGCAAAATCTTGGCACATTTGATGCTTGGAAACTAAGGATTAATACTAAAATCGAGTGTATTTATGTGGATATGATGTGTTTGGTAGTGTTTGTACAGGTAAAACATGTGGACATGAAAGAAGAAAGAAGAGAAGAAAATGTAGAGTGAAAATGGATGGAACCAAGTGAAGATCACGGATGCCTTAACGGGTCGTGAAGATTATGACTGATCATGAAAGGGCTCGTGAATTGGAACCAATGAGAAGGCATGGAAGATAATACATTGGTGGAACTCAAGGAAAGACCACTGACACTTTCACGGGCTGTGGTCATCACAACGGTCTTTGGTATTGCCCGTGCAAGGGAACCAGTGTATGGGTCTTGGGGAAACAAAGTGCAAAGGCGATTCAAGTGAAAACCACGGAAGGCCTCACGGGCCGTGGTCCTTACAACGTTTCGTGATGGTGATCGTGAAGTTGAACCAGTGGCTAGGAGCAAAGGAGTGAAAATGAGAAGTGGCCAAGTGAAGACCATGGACACCCAAATGGATCGTGGTCCCTATGATGGTCCGTGGTACCTTTCCAGATTGTTGGCTTTGAAGATCCAAATCTCGAACATGCCAAGTATAGACCACGGGAGGCTCCACGGACCGTGAAGCTTGTGACGGACCGTCAAGTTGTCCGTGAAGCTGCCCGCATTTCAGTCCTACTTCGAGTAGGACTCTTTTTTAAAACACGGATTTGAATTAATTAGGTCATTTTTTATTTTTTATCTTATCTAACCTTGAAAGACGAAGAAGTTTCGATTTATTCATAGCTTTTGGTTTTCGATTTTGGATATTAAATTAAAGTTTGAAGTTTGGTTTTTTGGTTCTTGAAATATCAAAGTGGTGGTTGATTTGCTTATTTTCGTAAGTACTTTCTAACTTGTTTTCATTCTATGTTTGTGAGCATTTACGTGAAATTATGAGTAGCTAAACACCACAACTGGGGTTGTGGGATCCATGACGTAATTCTAATCGTAATTTCATAAAACGAGTGAATGACGATTTATGTTTACAAATTGTAATTTAGCTTCGTTATTCATGTATTCTAATTAGTTCACACATTAGAGTGAGCCTGTATCTGTCATTTGTTCGAGAGAAAAATTATACTCCCTCCGTCCCATTTTATATGAGGTACTTTGACTCGGCACAGAGTTTAAGAAAGAAGGAAGACTTTTAACACTTGTGGCCCAAAATGAATGATAGAAATTTGTGTGGCTGTAAATCATTTCATTAAGGGCAAAATAGATATTTTATAGTTAGATTGTTACTTTATATAGAAATGTGTCATTCTTTTTGGGACTGACTAAAAAGGAAAGTGAGTCATATAAATTGGGATAGAGGGAGTAGTTAGGAAAAAGTTAAATTAATATGATGAAATGGAGTTAAGGTTTAAGTTTGAGAAAAAAGAGTCTACAGACCATTATAGGCGAGGGTAAATCGTGTAACACTCTAAGACCAAGAGGACTTGAGTGAAGATTATCTGAGCCACTGAGAAGTGTCAGATATAGCTAATTCGCATGTATTTTGTAGAGGTAAATTGCTTGAAACCCAATTACGGAAGAACATTAGACGCAACGTTATGGGGAACACAATCCTAGTTTCAGTTAATTATTGAAACAACTTCGAAACTGATATTTTGTCAATTGTTGAATTAGACTTTAGTTTGCAACTTTGGTTACCAAAGCATTAACGCTAAACCGAATTTTACTTTCTGCAATTGTTTATTTAGGAAATAATAATGACATTAGAGTAAAACGCGACAGTGAAATCATTTCTATAAAGAAATTCTCTATGGGATCGACCTCAACTCATGTTGAGTTCTGTAAATTGACTTCGACCGTTTATATCTCTTAATTGAGGTGTAAGTTTGGACGTATCAAATTTTGGCGCCGTTGCCGGGGAATTTCAATTCAGAAGTGTTTTAGTAGCTTTTATTCTAAGTGTAGTTAGATTTCCTAATTTTACGTCTTGTTCTTTGTCTGTGTCTCTTTTAGGTGAGTTTGACTGTGTATGCCAAATACCAGAAGTAAGGGAGCCCCATTAGTCCCATACGATCCATAACTCCGGAAAACAATCCGCAAAATGGTGAATGCTCAAGAACTTGAGGCGTAGAGACATAGATTTGGATTGGAAGCTGAAACCATTGCAAGAGGTTTTCAGCCGAATGCTATGAACAACCAACCTAGGGTAGTGGATGAAAACTTAGCAGTGGATGGAATCATTCCTCCCCACCGCCAACCAATAACTCCAAGGGGTAGAGCACAACATCCAGCTAAAATGATGTATGAGGAGGATGATTTAGAATTGGATGGAGCTAGAGCCACTGGAGCGATAGTGTTACCTGCACTACATCCAGGTGTTCAATTCACAATCACAACACCATGATTCAACTGCTGAATCTGAAAGGTATGTTCAGGGGTGCAACTGGTGATGATGCAAACCAGCATCTGATAAACTTGTGGCGATTTGCAAATCGCAAAAGATTCCTGGAGTAAGACAAACAACGATGAGATTGAGGTTGTTTCCTTTGTCTCTTACTAGAGAAGCAACCAACTGGTTGAATGAGATGCCTGATGACTCAATCAGGATTTGGACTGAACTGAAGGAAGCTTTCCTGGAATGATTCTTTCTAGAATCTAAAGAGCTGCAAATGAAAGATGAGATAAGTGCCCATAAGCAACTACCAGGAGAAGCAATGCATGACACCTTGTGGAGATTCAACCAAAAGCTGAAGAAGTGTCCAAACCATGGTCTCACTGAGAGACATCTAAAAAAGGCATTTTACAGATCTTTAAATTATGTTACTAAACTTGTTGCTGATGCAGTGGTTCTTTTATGAGGAAGCCATTCTCAGAGAGCATGCAGCTGATGGACGAGGTGTCAAAGAATAACAGGGCATGGTACACCATGGATGCAGAAGTAGGAGATCCTTGGTATACTTATGAACTATCAGCTGAACAAAGAAAGAGAGAAGAAGAAAGGGATCAGGACATGACTTATATGTGGACCCAAATAGATCTACTTACAAAGCACATTGTCTCAAAGTCTGAAAAGGTAAATGCTTTAGGACAACCAAACAGGTATGAAGATCAGGATATTGATCTAGATGAGGAGGCTAATTTTTTGGGCAATCAAGGAGGTTTCCAGAATTATAACTCGGGAAACCAGGGTTACAATTCTGGAAATGCAGGTCGAAACTACTCAAGGGAAGGACAATATGATAGGCCAGCGAATAGAGAGCAGGGAAACTAGTAGAACAGAGATGGGTACCGAAATGATCGAAGTAGTGTCTCTGTGTCCCCAGGTAATAGAGACCGGGCAAGTGGTAGTTCCAACGGGTCTAAGCTGTAAGACATGTTGGCCAAGGTGCTCTAAAAGGTTGAATCAACTGATGTAGGGGTAAAAGAGATGAAAGGTGATTTTTCTAGTATGAGTCAGCTGGTAGACTCTCATACCACCTCCATCAAGAAGATTGAGCAGCAGTTGGGGAAACTTTCAACCTCATTAAATCAGAGGAAGAATGGGTCACTACCAAGTGACACGATCCAAAATCCCAAGAAGGACGGGCATTGCATGGCTATCGCCACCAGGATTGGTAAGATTCTTACTGACCCTATTTATGCAAGTACTAAATATGAGCAGGTGTTGGAGCAAGTTGGAAGAGAGGAGGATGAAGCTGAGCAAGTAGATGACTTGGAGGATGCTCAACCAATAGCCAAATCAGCAGGAGCGAAAGAAAAAGAGGTTGAAGGAACCTTGCCGTTACAGCAAATCCCAAGACCACCTCCTCCTTTCCTTCAAAGGCTTAAAAAGAAAGCCGAGGATGGGAAATTCGCTAAATTCATCACCATGCTGAGATTGTTGTCTGTAAACATACCATTGATGGAAGCCCTTGAGCAGATGTCGGGATATGCCAAGTTCATGAAAGACTTGGTTACTAAGAAAAGAGCAGTGAGTATTGATTTGACTAACCATATTCATTACTGCAGTGCTATTGTTACCAGGTCTCTGGTGTAGAAGAAGGAGGATCCAGGTGCATTCACCATACTATGCACTATTGGATCAATCAAATTTGCAAAGGCCTTGTGTGATCTAGGGGCCAGTATAAACTTGATGCCGCTGACCATCTACAAGCAACTGGGGTTAGGAGTTCCAAAACCCACAACCATGAGGTTGATGATGGCAGATAGGTCAGTGAAGCGACCTGTGGGCATCCTATGTGATGTACTTGTAAATCTCGACACGTTCATCTTTCTGGCAGACTTCGTGATCTTGGATTGCGAAGTGGATTTTGAGGTTCCCATTATTTTGGGAAAACCATTTCTGGCCACATGGCGAGCATTAGTAGATGTTGAGCGAGGAGAATTGAAATTTAGACTCAACAAAGAAGAGGTAAAGTTTAATATTTGCAAGTCCATGAAGCAGCCACAAGACATGAATGTGGTGTCTGCAATAGGGTTTTTTTGATGAAAAAGAAATGGGAGCATCCATTGAAGAGAGGATGGCTGTTGAAACCTTAGGCGCAGTACTAATGAATTTTGAGGCTGATTTCCGATCTGACTATGTAGAGACCGTGAATGCTTTGCAGGGTATGGGAGCACACTCTTATGCTCCAAAGAAATTGAACTTGGAATTGAAAAACATGCCAAGTCCTTCAGCAAAAGAATCCATCGAGGAGCCACCGGTGCTGGAACTGAAACAGTTATCCTGTCACCTGAGGTATGTATTTTTAGGAAATAACAACACTTTACCTGTGATTTTGGCTACAGATTTGAATGATGAACAGGTCCAAGCTGTGATCAAAGTGTTGATTAGGTACAAAAGGGCCATTGGGTGGACCATTGCTGACATCATCGGGATACCTCCGGGTATATACACCCATAAGATCCAATTTGAGGAGGACTGCAGCCCAAGCATTGAACACCAGAGGAGGTTAAACCCACCGATGCAAGAGGTGGTCAAAAAGGAGATAATCAAGTGGTTAGATACTGGGGTGGTGTACCATATTTATGACAGTCACTGGGTCAATTTAGTGCAATGTGTGCCGAAAAAGGTGGTATGACTGTGGTCACGAATGCAAAAAATGAGTTGGTCCCATAAAGACCAGTTATTGGATGGCGAGTGTGTATGGACTACATGAAGCTGAACAAGTGGACCTTGAAGGATCACTTCCCAATGCCTTTCATAGAACATATGCTTGACAGGTTGGCTGGAAAAGGGTGATATTACTTCTTGGATGGATACTCTGGCTACAACCAAATATCGATTGCTCTTGAAGATCAGGAAAAGACTACCTTTACGTGTCCTTATGGCACCTTTGCGTTTAAACGCATGCCATTTGGACTATGTAATGCACCAACAACTTTCTAGAGGTGTATGATGTAGATCTTCTCAGACATGGTGGAGGACACTTGGAGGTCTTCATGGATGACTTTTTAGTGGTAGGTGATACCTTTGATGATTGTTTGTTAAATCTTAGAAGGTCCCTACAGAGATGCGAGGAGGCAAATCTAGTGCTGTACTGGGAGAAGTGCCATTTCATGGTTAAGGAAGGCATAGTCCTTGGGCACAAGGTATCATAGAAAGGGATTGGGGTCGATAAAGCCAAAATTGAGGTGATTGAAAAGTTACCTCCGCCGATCTGTGTGAAGGGTGTTCGAAGTTTCTTAGGACATGCAAGATTCTATAGGCATTTAATTAAGGACTTCTCTAAAATTGCACACCCCATATGCAAACTTTTGGAGAAGGAGGTGAAATTTGTCTATGATGAGGCATATCTCAGAGCTTTTGAATGCCTAAAGGAGAAGTTAATTTTTGCACCAGTGATCATTGGCCCAGATTGGGCAGAGCCATTTGAGGTGATGTGCGATGCTAGTGGTACTGCCTTAGGAGTTGTGTTGGGGTAAAAGCGCAACAAAATGTTTCATCCGATTTACTATGCTAGTAAGTCACTGAATGGAGCACAGCGAAACTACACAGTTACCGAACATGAACTGCCGACGGTGGTGTATGTGTTTGAGAAATTCAGAGCCTACTTGTTGGGTACTAGAGTGATAGTCCATACTGATCACGCAGCTCTAAGGTACCTTATGGCAAAGAAAGATGCCAAGCCAAGGTTAATCAGATGGGTATTACTTCTCCAGGAGTTTGATTTTGAGGTTAGGGATAGGAAAGGTTGTGAGAACCAAGTGGCTGATCACCCGAACATGAACTGCCGACGGTGGTGTATGTGTTTGAGAAATTCAGAGCCTACTTGTTGGGTACTAGAGTGATAGTCCATACTGATCACGCAGCTCTAAGGTACCTTATGGCAAAGAAAGATGCCAAGCCAAGGTTAATCAGATGGGTATTACTTCTCCAGGAGTTTGATTTTGAGGTTAGGGATAGGAAAGGTTGTGAGAACCAAGTGGCTGATCACCTGTCGAGGTTGGAGGCTTAAAATAAAGAGGAACTCGAGCTCGACATAAATGATTCGTTCCCGGATGAGCAGGTATTAGCTGCTACTCTTGGTTTTATCCCTTGGTTGCTGATTTTGCTAACTTTCTCGTTAGTGATTTGATGCCTGAAGGGCTGACATATCAACAAAGTAAGAGGTTCCTGCATGAGGTGGGTAAGTATTTTTAGGATGAACCTTATCTGTACAGTGTGTGAGCTGACAACATCATCAGGCGATGTGTTCCTGAAGCTGAGATGTTGCATATTCTAGAAGCCTGTCACTCCTCTCCGGTAGGTGGTCATCATGGAGGTTCTCGGACAGCTCATAAGATACTTCAGTGTGGGTAATACTGGCTCACAATTCATCAGGATGCAATGGATATAGTGAGGAGCTGTGATGTGTGCTAGCGACAAGGAGCCATCTCTCGGTGCCATGAGTTACCCATGACACCTATTCTAGAGGTGGAGCTGTTTTATGTGTGGGGAATCGACTTAATAGGCCCATTTATGAGCTCCCATGGGCAGAAGTACATATTGGTTGTCGTGGACTATGTGTCCAAATGGGTTGAGGCAGTTGATTTGCCTGAGAATGATGGTAAGAGTGTTGCTGGTTTTCTGAAGAAGAATATCTTCTCAAGGTTTGGCACACCCAGAGCTATCATCAGTGATGGTGGTTCTCATTTCTACAATAAGGTATTTAGTTCTCTTCTGGCTAAATATAGAGTTAAACAACACAAGGTAGCAACACCTTATAACCCACAGACCAGTGGCCAAGTGGAGGTCTCCAACAGAGAAATTAAAGAAATTCTGGCTAAAACGGTGAATGCCAACATGATAGATTGGGCACGGAAGTTAGATGATGCTCTCTGGGTATATCAGACAGCTTTCAAGACGCCTATTGGTATGTCTCCATATCAATTGGTGTTTGGAAAGGCATATCATTTGTCGGTTGAGCTTGAGCATAAAACACTCTGGGCTTTGAAGAAGTTGAACCTTAGTTGGAGCGAAACTATAAACCTGAGGTTGGATCTGATCAATGAGATGGATGAGTTCCGTCTGAGAGCCTATGAGAGGTCTGCACTATATAAGGAGAGCATGAAGCTATATCATGACAAGCATATTGAGAAAAGAAGCTTCACTCTTGGTGACTTGGTGTTACTTTTCAACTCCAGACTTCGTATGTTTCCGGGAAAGTTGAGATCCAAATGGTCTGGACCTTTAATATCAAAAATCAAAAACCAAAAGCTATGAATAAATCGAAACTTCTTTTTCGTTCAAGGTTATATAAGATAAAAAATAAAAAATGACCTAATTAATTCAAATCTGTGTTTTAAAAAAGAGTCCTACTCGAAGTAGGACTGAAATGCGGGTAGCTTCATGAACATCTTGACGGTCCGTCACAAGCTTCACGGTCTGTGGAGCCTCCCGTGGTCTATACTTGGCACGTCTAAGATTTTGATCTTCAAAGCCAACACACTGGAAATGTACCACAGACAACACCACAAACCGTCATAGGGACCACGGTCCGTCTGGTTGTCCGTGGTCTTTACTTGGCCACTTCTCATTTTCACAACTTTGCTCTTGGCCATTGGTTCAACTTCACGATCACCATCATGGAACGTTGTAAGGACCATGACCCATGAGTCCTTCCGTGGTTTACACTTGAATCGCCTTTGCAGTTTGTTTCCCTAAGACACATACACTGGTTCCCCTGCACGGGCACTACCACAAACCGTTGTGATGACCACGACCCGTGAAAGTGTCCATGGTGTTTACTTGGGTTCCACCAATGTATTATCTTCCATGCCTTCTCACTAGTTCCAATTCATGAGCCCTTTCACGATCATTCATAATCTTCACGACCCGTCAAGGCCTCCGTGATCTTCACTTGGTTCCATCCATTTTCACTCTGCATTTTCTTCTCTTCTTTCTTCTTTCATGTCCGCATGTTTTACCTGTACAAACACTACCAAACACATCATTTCCACATAAATACACTTGATTTTAGTATTAATCCTTAGTTTTCAAGCATCAAATGTGCCAAGATTTTTGCGGCACATCAACACCATCAACTTAGAACCATTACTTGTCCTCAAGTGATGAGAAAACAATACATTCAGCTTTCAAGTCATTCAAAATCTTTTGACCCTATGCAGCAACCATCTGAAACACAATTTGTATCCAAAACCATGAATCTAACATGCAAGGATCAATACATGACATCTCATTACTCACAGTTGATCATTTTTATGTCTGTGAATTATCAGTTAACACAATCTACTCTCAAATGCAATCACTGTGTCCTCTCACCAAAGAAGTCCCTCACTCATGATAATTGGGACTAAGTACTACGATCACACTCTCAATGAACTTCTAATACTAGCAACAAACTACTATAGGCTTACCCTTGCTTTCTATGCTCTATCTTGCAAACACCCGGAATAGGATCACTATTGGATTTTATCGGCTTGTAACATAGGCTCAGGTTAGGGAATGGATATATGGGTTCATGTGACTAGTCCCTTGGTTTTCCAAAGTCTCGTTTTCACACAACTCTTTTCTGAGCGATTCCCTCTTTTTCTTCATAATAACACATCCCAACAACCATTATTTTCCTTTTTCTTTTTCTTATCTTTTCTTCACACTTTTTTTTATATATGCACTCAACTTACTGGTTGGACCTTCTTTTTCACTTTTCTTTCCGCTCGGATTTCAAACACCATCAACTTAGGATTTTGGCTTCAGTTGTGACATCGTATCTTCGGAGACCAAAGGATATGATATTTATTGGGTAAGAACAAAAATTGATTTTTAGGCTCAAATCGGGTTCAAATGATAAGCTTTTTATTTGGTTGTTTATTTTTTTGGCTTTTTATTGGCTTAACAAAAATGGTCTACTGATCCTTTCCTATCCAACTATTCTCAAATTTAAGCAAGATCACTTGGGGCAAGTTCTAGTTTCTACTCCTAATGTTAGACTTTGAACAACACTCACACACACATGACACATGACTGCATTCTCCAGTTTCTTG